ATGAGAGCTTTTATTTTATTTCTTTATATTACATGTTATCATCAAGTTTTTTTTATTTTTGTGCGAGCGAATCCTCGTACTAGGGCGTTTGAAATATTATGTTTATAAAAAAAAAGGCCGGGCTATTTGAGGTCTTGATACGGTCGGGGGGCCATTATGCCCCCCTTAAGATCTCGGCCGCCAAATGGCCGATCGCCGCGAAAATTTGCACGCATGTCAAGTGAAGTGTATAGGATACTATGGTAAATTATTTTTTTTGAAAAATTCACTCATTTGCATATTTATGGTAATTTATGCAAATAAGGTCATAAAATACACCTTTTTACCCATAAATCATATTCTTTATATTTAAGCATTCTTTTTCACTACTTTGTATTCGTTAGACCATTTGAAACAATAATACGACCAAAAAATTGGAAGAGCTAGGTTATTCCTTATGTTGTCTCTTGTTTTGATAGTTTCTTATGTATTTCATAATTGTTCTATTTTATTTTGTATTTTATTTTTTTCTAACTACAATTTAACTATTTTGATTCCCAAATCAAACACTACTTTAAACAAGACCCAATAACCAATGTTTTATCTCTTTTTAGAAAAAATGACATTTCCATATGTTTTGTACACAAATAACGAAAATGAGCGATTATCGGGCCGACATGCAAGACAAAATGTCACGTGACTTTGTAACGATACGTCCGATTTTCACAAAAATTGTTTTAAAAGATGCGCAAGACTCGAAAGAACTGAAAACAGTCAGCGAGCGGCGGGGCGCCATCCGTATGCGTTCCCAAACAATCAACAAAATCGGGGGGAGGGGGTAGCCTTATTAGGGTTAAAGGCCTATATCAGCTATAATTACACATTTTCCACACCGTTTCTTCAGTGAGATTATCTCTATTATTGTATTTATACAACAAGTAGGAAAAGAAGTCCGTCGTTATAATGTTAAAGAAAATAATAATAAAAAAGAATCGCCATTTTTAAAAGCCCCAAAATTAACCACAGTGCCATTCTAGAATTTGAAAACATGACGTGACATTCAAAGTTTTATTTTTGACATTCTCTTTCTGAAATTTTGTGTTTACAAAAATCCTAACAAAATGTCCCATTATTGACCAATAATTGACAACGGACTATAAAGTCGAGTTTGCCAATCTATGTGTGTAATTGGCTCTCTAGAAGCTTATGGAAAATGGAAGATAATTATCACTGATTTGGGGTATTTTTCAACACTTTTCACCACTTGGATTCCTTAGAACGTTTTCATGTTCTTAAGTGTGTATTTATGATACTATACATTGTATAACAGTTGAATTTTTACTTCTGTACTAGCAAGGCTACATCTAGGTAATTGAATTGAATTGAATTCAAGACTTTATTCCAGACTCAGGTGCAAAAGCAGAGGTCCATATAACATATTTACATATAGATATAAAAAAATGAACAAGAATAAAAGGGTAACAAATTATTAAAACTGACATAATGATTTACACGAAGAGACAGAATAATAGGGGAATACATACTGATATAAGAGAAACAAAAACTAAACTACTTTAAACAACCTCTGCCGACTGTGACAATTACAAGCTACTGAACCAGAACTTCCACAAGTCTGAGGTAAACCTTGAACTACTTAGAAATGGTTAAACCAACACTTTAACAATCATATTTTCTGGATAGTCAATAATTCTCTGAATAAATTTGAAAATTAGATTTCTTACAACAGCTTGACATGCAGGTATATTCACGTCTGCAAACATTTTATTTGCACTAGAGTGCCTAGGTATTCGTAAGAGCATCCTCATAGCATCATAATAGGCTACTGTGAGCTTCTTTATACTGCTCTTTTATATACCTACTCCATAGATGTGCAGTATATAACGGCAGTGGCGGATCCAGGGGGGGGGGGCCCGAAACGGCCGCGGCCCCCCCCCCCCCTATTGGCGGCGCAAAAAAAAGAGGAAAAAAAAGAAAGGAGAAGAGAAGAAAAAAAGGAGAAGAGAAAAGATAGGAGAAGAGAAAAGAAAAGAGAAGAGAAAAGAAAGAAGAGAGAGAGAGAAAGAAAAAAAAGAAGAAGATCCCCCCCCACCTCACTCCCACTCCGGGGTCGGAGGGACCGATTTTGTGTTCCCAAAATTTCCGATGAAGGGTTACTTTTCACGCAACAAAGTCCGGCCCGTAATACACACAAATCCGGCCCGCACTGACTCTACACACCGAAGATAAAGGGGTGCTTTCAAACTAAGAGAGGGAACATACATGCGCATACCCTAGATATCACTGAGTGGGTGGGGGGGGGGGGGGGGGGGGGGGGGTGGGAAGGGGAAGAGAAAAGTCGGGTGAGAAAGGGGGAAAGACAAGGAAATGGCGCTCAGTGACAGTAACGACGAATAAGGGAAAAACTGCAATTGGGAGATTTGGGGTCATTCCAGAAGGCTTGGGAAACGTTATTGAATAGAGGGGCCGGGCCGGCCGCATGAAATCTCGAGCCACAAATTCAAAGTTAAACGTTACAAACAGCCCCTGCTTTTTGAAAAAAAATTGAAAAGGGCACAATGTTTTGGATGTCTTTCAAATAGAAGCTATATACTTCACAGTCAAATTTTAAATTAACGGTAGGGCCGCTTCACAATTCTTATTTTGCCCTTCATTTGGATTCAGCTCATACCAACTCGCTTGTGCTTATGTTTGAACTCATGTAGGTAGTGATAATGGACAGCGGCGGCGATCCTGGGCCCGATAGAGAGACACGTCCCCCGGAAATTTAGATATATACTGTAGCTAGAAAGAAATATACATGTAACGGAAAGAACGTACATATTGGACTAAAGGATTTTCTAGAATGCATAATTTCAGCATTCTACATTGCAAAATCTCGCTTGGTCGCTCCGCTCCGGCCCTCGCCCGATAACACAAAACTAAGATATAATTATGACGCTCCCGGTCGCGATTATTTCATGGTTGGTGTATACATAGATCTTTTTTCCCCTTTCATTTCTACTGACCTAATTGTATGCTATCACAATAATGATTGTTTCATTTTCCCTTTAAAGCATGCGTAGCTAGGGGCGGTAGGGACAGTAAGAGGACATAGGACGAAAAAAGGAGCAGACAAAGAAACATTTTTGACAAGTCTAAAACGGGACAACAAATCATCTTCTAGTTTAATGAATACATTTAATGAAACGTTAAGCTTCTGCGCTTTGCGCTGGAGGGGAAAACTGAATTCAGAGAAGGATTAAGAGTCGGGAATGGAACAACGAATTATCTTCTTTCTCTAATAATTTCTTTAAACTATGAAAGGTCAGAGCTTCCGCGCCTCGCGCGGAAGGTGGAAAATGAATTCAAACAAGGATTAAGAATCGAGAATGAGACAACGAATCATCTTCTTTCTCTCATAATTTAATGACGCGTCAGAAGCTTACGCGCTACGCGCGGGAGGAGGAAAACTGAATGCAGACAAGGATTTAGAGTCGAGAATGAAACAACGAATCATCTTCTTTCTCTAATAATTCAATGAAACGTCAAAGCTTCCGCGCTTTGCGCGGGAGAGGGGGGGGGGGGGGGTAACTCAATACAGACAAGGATTAAGAGTCGAGAACGGTACTCTTTCTCTAATGATTTAATGAAACGTTAAGCTTCTGCGCTTTGCGCTGGAGGGGGTAATCTGAATTCAGAGAAGGATTGAGGGTCGAGAATGGAACAACGAATTATCTTCTTTCTCTAATAATTTCATTACACTATGAAAGGTCAAAGCTTCCGCGCTTCGCGCGGGAGGGGGAAAACTGAATTCAGACAAGGAATAAGAGTCGAGAATGGTACAACAAATCATCTTCTTTCTCTAATAATTCAATGAAACGTCAAAGCTTCCGCGCTTTGCGCGGAGGGAGGAAACTGAATTCAGACAATGATTAAGAACCAAGAACGGAACAACGAATCGTCTTCTTTCTCTAATAATTTAATGAAACGTCAAAGCTTTTGCGCTTCACGCGGGAGAGGGGGGGGGGGGAACTCAATTCAGACAAGGATTAAGAGTCGAGAACGGTACTCTTCTTTAATGATTTAATGAAACGTCAAAGCTTCCGCGCTTCGCGCGGGAGGGGGTATAGAAACTGAATTCAGACAATGATTAAGAATCGAGAACGGTACAACGAATCGTCTTCTTTCTCTAATAATTTAATGAAACGTCAAAGCTTCCGCGCTTCGCGCGGGAGAGAGAAGGGGGGGGGGGGGACTCAATTCATACAAGGATTAAGAGTAGAGAACGGTACTCTTTCTCTAATGATTTAATGAAACGTCAACGCTTCCGCGATTCGCGCGGGAGGGGGTATGGAAACTGAATTCAGACAATGATTAACAACCGAGAACGGTACAACGAATCGTCTTCTTTCTCTAATAATTTAATGAAACGTCAAAGCTTCCGCGCTTCGCGCGGGAGGTGGTATGGAAACTGAATTCAGACAATGTTTAACAACCGAGAACTGTACAACGAATCCTTTTCTTTCTCTGATAATTTCATGAACATTAAAGCTTCTGCGCTTCGCGGGTAATGGGGGGGGGGGGGGAGGGGACAGCGAGCTGCCCGAATATGAATTTGTTATATTTTTTCTCGTGTATTTTGGTGATAAATAACACTTTCACAAAATACATATTATCCTCAAATTTTTGCTCGCTCGCTTCGCTCACTAGCCGAATTGTGAAACCAGAAAATTACTTTTTCGGGCAAGAGGCTTCAGCCCCCCCCCCCCGATGAAAATGTCAAAAAAAAAATTACCGGTTTGGTGCTTCTAATATGACCTTGTCAGTATTGGTATGTTGAGTTGAAAAACTGCCTGCGCAATTTTCAAATTTCCGGCCCCCCCTATTGGAAAATCCTGGATCCGCGCCTGTAACGGTGTACAATAAGCTCCTTCTGCACAATGGTTTGACGGTACGTAGGCCTAAACAATGATGGAGCCTTTAGAAATATCACATAATAAAATGACAGGGCCCACAATCCAATTCGAGGGGCCGGAAAAAAAACGACAAGGTCGCCTGATTTACTATATAGCGTGCGCTTTAACCAGTATAACAATCCTATTCATAGATCGTCTCCCTGAGAAAACTAAGCTTAGCCCTGGAAGGGTCGTCAAATTTACATTCCGTTCCTTTCCTCCCATCTCCCTGCATATAGATCATACAGTAGTTTGTCTCGGTTAATTTTTTAGTCGACAGTATAGAGAAACCAAACGTTATGGCGACTGAGGGGAAACGTACAGACGAGAAACTCGCAGAACTGCAAGAAAGGTACGGTTTTGTGAGACCAGAGCGAGGTATCGACTCTTACCCAGTGGGGGCGACGTGGCGGGAGGGTAAGCCTGACTATCGGAGAGCAGATCTGGTCTTTTTCCAAGGCAAGACCAAGAACCATCCGGTTGGGTCTTTGGCGCAAATCGTCGAGAATCTCGTGAAGAAATGGGAAATGGAGATGACACATCTCACTGAGAAGAAAGATTGGATGACGATTAACCCGAGAGAATATACGTGAGTAATCTTTGAGAGAATAAGAAGTAATCTAAAGGATAAACAGTTTTGAACAATGTTTTTTCGGGAAAAGAAATAAAATATTATGTGTCCAAAGGAAGCTTGTTTGGGCCCATTCTCTGTGTAATATGTATTAATGATCAATCTTCTTTATTTGGAAATTGGGTGTTCTTTTTCAGGAAACTCTATTTAAACGAGTGGAAGCACTGGCGGCTCTGTTTTTTTAAAACTGTAACAATTCTCCTTGGATCAGATATAGACCAAAAACAAGCCTCATTATCTTCAGTATACAAGTGTCATTTCGGACCTTACAGCTTTCATAGAAATCACTTCTGGACCGTCAAAGAAAAAGTTTGAGGGGGCAAAAGTTGCCTCTTTTTACGTTTGAAAAGTGACATTTTCCTTTTTAAGCAGTTCCCCTTCCCCTTCTAATACGTGCTTATTATTTCACCTCTGATATGTGCTTCTTTTATTTTGACACGTGTCCCCTTTTCATTAATTACTGTATTTCCTTCTGATAAATGCCCCTTTCCCCTTTTTTATAACAGCCCCTTCCCCTTAAAAAAATAAATATATATTTTCACCTCTGATAAATGCCCCTATTAAAATCTGATAAGTGCCCCTTTTCCTTCGACAGATGCCCCTTTTCTTTTCTAATAAATGTCCTTCTTCTTTCTGAAAAGAACCCCTTTTCCTTTCTCCATAACATACGCCCCTATACAGCGACTTAGAGCAACTTTTTTTTTTATTCATTTCCCCTAAAGCTCACTCGCGTTTATAATTGGTATAAATGTGTTACTTATGAAATGTATTTTCAGTCTTTCACGATTAAATTGTGCTTAAAACCCATCAGGATTTGTTGTTGTTTTTCTCATTATAAAACTTTTCGCCCTGCGACGTCACAAATCTTAAATTTTTCTTAATATTCAAAACCATCACACCCAACTGCAAGGTATGATTCTTGAACAGTATATTGGACCATGTAAAGAGAGAAACAAATATTGAAATCATCCCTGATAATGTAATCACAATCATAAAAATGTAGGGGTATATAGGCCTACCAATGTCTAAATATGGTAGATTTACATTGTGATGTTTCCCTTTGTAGGTGCACCTTATATTCCAGAAAGTGCCCTATTTTGATGGTGCCCCCCCCCCCCCATGTATGGAAAATGCTCCACCGCGCATGTTTGTACTTAACCTTTTTTTTTATAATTTAGCTTGGATTCAACTCACTATACTCCCGATCGTCTATCGTCGAGTCAAAAGACCAGTTATTTATATTTAACGATATTTGGTTTATTAAAATACTGAACCTGGCAGCCCGTAGGCTGAATTAAATGAAATTGACATGATAAAAACAACTGAACTTGCACACCAATGTTGGAACAATTATCATACAATGTGAGAACATTAAAACATAAAAACAATACGGCAATCAAAATAATTAAGATAGTATTCTTAAAACAGGGTCAAGCTATGTTCACATCATTATTGCACTGAGATTATAGCAAAAAAGGAGAGTAGAAGGAAAGAGGGAGAAAAGGAGAGTCAGAAAAGAGGGAATCGAGAGGAGGATAGTAGAAAGAATGAAGTAAAAGGTAAGAAACAGGTAACCTTGGGAGACAGAGAAAGGGGGGGGGGGGAGAGAATTAGAGGAAGTATAATTACTGTGTATGCAAAATTACAGTTCATAGTGTCACATTTAATGTCATTCATACAGATTAAAACAGTACAATAAATGAAGTTATACTTTTAAGGAAATGGGAATGCGCATGCGGAAATTGTGAGTAATGCGTTAACTATCAAAACATCACACATCATACATTTCAAAACCAGACTTTGAACAATTTGTATTGTATGAACTTCAATAATGGTATCTTACTGAAGAGGGTAGAATTGTGTTTTTGGAACAAATTGGACAGTTGTCTGGCACTACGTCGCAGTGACATTATAGTGATTACAACTTTCAAATTGATAACTTATATATTTTTGCCCGATTTCAAATAATAATAATAATGGATTCTTATATAGCGCACGTATCGACCTTACAAGGTCCTCAAGGCGCTCCAACATTACCCGGCTATGCTGGGCTGCCGATTTCGACGCTCACAGCATTTTAAGGAATTCCTTCCTACCGGTACCCATTTAACACCTGGGTGGAGAGAGGCATATGTAGATCAATGTCTTGCCAAAGGACATTAGTGCCGCGGCGGGACTCGAACCGTGGACCTTGTGATCGACAGTCCGGCGACGTATCCACTCATCCACGACACCTCAGTCACACCTCAAAAACCGACCCCAGACCGACTGACTTGTTGCTATTCGGGGTATTGTAATTGTTTGATCGGTCTGGTGTCGGTCTCGTTGGTGTGACTGAGGTATTATAAGTAAAGATGTCACAGTTGACATTTCAAATACAAAAAGAACTCCTTGACGAAATTTAGTGTATACACAATTATATGCTTTTTACTAAAGTATTTCTGAACCTTCCTACACCTAGCCTACAGTGAGTGGCAATAGCCTTTGAGCGATTTCAATTAAATACATCGGGGGGGGGGGGGGGATACTCAGATTTGGTTTGGACGGGGGTGTGCCGCTGAAGCCACGAAACCCCTACCCATTTTTAAGGGTAATTTTTCCCGAAATAAGGCCCATTTTATTATTTTCGGGTGTATTTCGGGTGTTTGTATATGGCAAACACCCGAAAATTTTGGAAATTTTGAAAAAAAAACATTGTTGATGGTATTTTTGATAAAAATGGGACCCATGTTTAGGGATTTTTGTCAAAAAGTTACCCATTAGAGCGGCACCCCCCGTATGTCTTATGTGAGTATACCCCCCCCCCCCTCGCAATCGAAACTTCGCAACTGAAACGCGGCTTCTATATCTTTCTAGCTCTCTGCGTTAATGTAGTAGTTCGATGATCCTATTGAAACTGTATATGAACTTCCTTTTCATGAAATTGAGAAAGAAAGAAATGTCAATAAGTAGCGCTTGATTTGACACTGAATAGATCTGTTTACGAATTTTTTTACAAAGTCTCTCTTGACAATCCTTTTATCAGATATTTTCGTCTGAATGGAACAAAGGTACGTGGAATGTAGGCCTACAAATAAACCAGCCCTTACGCATAGGCATATAATACCAGTTGCATATTGTACAAATAGGCCCACCCGTTCGAGGCCTTATTTTCATGCTTGCAACCAGGAAGGTGAAAGAGAAAGAGTGGAAACTCTTTTAATTTATTTAAACGCATGCGGGCTAGAGCCCCGGCCCCCCCCCCCACTCAATGTTATTTAGGGTACGCATATGCTCGTTCCCTCTTTTTGAAAGCACCCCCTATCTGAGGACTGCCAATATTTCCGAACCCCCTTTCGCGGGCATTTCGCGGGCTTTTCCTGCCTTGGAGACCCCCCTAAATCAGGAAAAATGCTCAATGTACCCCCCTAAATTCGGAATAATTTCTCAGGAGTCCAAAGAGATGAGGGAAAAAAATAAAAAACACCCCTTTTTAAAGAAATCTCCGGGTGAAAAGTCAAATACACCCCTTTTTTTACAATTCTCGGGCCGGACTTTGTCGCACGAAAAGTACCCCTTTACCGGACATTTTGGCAGCACACATGCGGTCATTCCGACCTCTGAGTGGGGGGGGGGGGGGGGGAGGGGGGCGGGGCTAAAGCGTAGCAATGGGATGTGTAACATTCCACTTGGCTTTGAAGTTCCATGCAAAATATTAAATTACCGGAGCATTTCAGTGTAAGTTATAAACTTTACATGGGGATCGTATTGGGAATAGTGCATCAAACAATTTTTCAAATTTAGAACTCCGCCTTCCTATAATTTGTGTGCCAGAGTTGGTAAAAGAAAAATTAGATCCTGACAAAAACTCAATATTTTAGGATATTGCGCTTATTTCCGCATGTTTTAATGTCCCGTCTTTTGATCCATGATTTACAATCTTTGATAACTTTAAGTTTGCTAATGCATGTTTTTGTCTCGCCTGCGGCGGAGACGGTGGCGGCTGTGGCGACGGCGACGGCGTCAACATCGAAAACTTAACCTAAGGTTAAGTTTTTGAATTTTTAATATAATTTTGAAAGTATAAGTTCTTATTCAATGAAACTTGGACTAAAGGATTATGAAGTATACCCAATCATGTATAAAGAATTTCAGGTCACAAAGTCAAGATGAAAGGTCATTTCAGGTCAACAAACTTAGACTATGTTGAGGCATCATCATCAAGAACTTAACCTGAGGTTAAGTATTTGATCAATATTTTGAATTTTTAGCATAATTTCTAAAGTGTTAGTTCAAATTCCATGAAACTTGTACCCAAGGGTTATCAAGTATCACAAATCACGTGACTCAAATTCTAGGTCACAAAGTCAAGGTCAAAGGTCATTTTAGGTCAGTAGATTTGGATTATGTTTTCACAACTTAATATGAGAATTAATAAATCCATTTTTGTTATTTGTTCATATTTCATTAAAGTTATCAATCTTGGTCCAAATAATAGTAAATAATTCTTTTAATGATTCTTAGTCAAAATTCACTTCAAAATGCTGATTATATTCAGAGGAAGGCTTATTGTTTGTTTGTTTGTTTGATTGATTTTATTTCTGCGTTCAAAAATATACAAATTCAAAGTCAAAGTACAAAATTTCGAACAATAACAAATACAATGAATACAATGTTTACAAAAGTAATTAAATGAAAAATCATGTACAATTATATCATTCGATAAACATGTACGAAGCATACAATAACATAAGACATATGAAATATTTTCAATAAATTAGAGAGGTAATTTGGAACGCAGGAGACCACCATCGTGAGCGGTTAGGCTGGAAATGGATGGCGGCCTCGTAAAAGAATTGGCGACATAACTCTCTTCGAAAAACTGAGTGATCAAGAGGGTGCGGTGCAAGTGCAGGTGCAGTGAGCAGTTGCATGATAAAGAATAAATAAGTCACGGTTTTGTTATACTAATTTAAAGA